TCGTACGAATAGAGAAAACGGACCTAAGAGAGCGCACTTTGGCCGTAGCGACTTGCTCAATGAAGTGTCGCGAGGAGTGAGTGAGTGATTGTCCAAGTGCAAGACTGCGTCGGAGATGGTTCGTCCGATGAGGAAGAGCGAGGAAGTCGCGGAGGCAAGGAAGCCGTCGAGTGGCAGCAAGCTAACTTCGCCGACGACGAGCAACGGGTAATCTTTTTCGCCATGCGCGTTCTGTTCCGATAGCATATATATACCTATATATATATATATATATATGTATATATCTGTATACGCGGACAAATTAATGATATTATACCTTTGTAATGACGTAGTCTACTGGCAGGACTGAAGCATTTTTGATAAAAAAAAGAAGTATAATGATAGCCTTAGCACGAGATATATACTACAGATAGATGCGGTTGCCGCAGACGCTCTCTCGCGAGCTGCACACCGATTATCATTACTTTTGTGATGCGCAGCATCGACGTTCATTATCTGCCGTGAGTTTAGTTTTCAGACGCAGAATGCGTGTGCGAGGTATGCTATACGGCATGAGCAGGCAAACGACAGGCAGACACGTTATATATCCTACATTCGATTGCTCAAATATTCCGAATAACGTATACAACAACGTTCGTTTACTTATCCTATACATTTGTGTATGGTAGGACTATGAGTACGCATTACAATATTTCAATCGTTTTAGCGCTACGTCAAATATTATTGTTCAATGATCTTGAAATAACGATAACGCAATAAAAGTTTCTTTGACAAAGCACAACATTCTCGCTTCGACTCAATTATTCATTCGACATCAACTTATCTTTTGGCATTGAAACTCAAGTTAAGCTTCCAATTGCTCGTCACTCAGCTTTCACGTTTTTTTTTCACGTCTGTCAAGCATGCCACTATATGTACGTTGCTCATTCAACTAGCAAGACTTTGTCATTTGATCGTTGAACGAAAGAGGTTTGAGCTTGCAACGCCATCGGCTGACTAGAGAGCGCTCGCGTTGCACGAAGGTTGCTTTCCAGCATGGGTCAAGCCGGCAGAGAGCCAACGTTCGGATGCGCGTCGAGCCTCGCATGTTCGCGTCCTCTTCGGTAGGACGCCTCGCGGCTTTGCACAATCGCTCCCGTCCGCGTGATAATCCTCGTGGAGAGCCGGACGCGGTGGAAGGAAACCGGTTCTCGAGTCGTATCTCGACCTTGGCTCGTTGGCGCGGATTAGGCGCGATACCCGCAAACGGCGCGTTTCTCGTGTTTTTCGGAAGAGGAGGCACGGGGACCTAGGCGGAGTCGTCCGGAGCGCCCGCCGCGATTGCAGCAGACGAATTTCGTGGAGAAACTCGCTAGTCGGTTCGCGAGTACGGGGCGCCAGCGTCGCCGCTTGGCTGACTCTTTTCTCAGCGCCGGCTGTAACGAGTGACGCTCTGATTGTTGCGTCGGCGGCCAAGCGCTCGAGCGCCGATCACTTTCCAGGTTAGCTCCGTTTTTGCAGCGAGCGCGGACGCGACAATCCGACTGGCGGTATGTGACGGCGCCGCGCGAGCAAAGCGTCGGGCGCGCACTCCAGTTCGACCGGCGAGCGCGCCTTGATGGGCAGGTGCGCGTGCAGTCGCGAAAGCATCGAGGAGGCGCTGCGCGGGCCCGCGTTCATCTCTTCCGCTTCGTTTTCGGTGCGCACGAGGCGCTCGTGTGTACGCGAACGCGGCCGCCTCGCGGCACGCGACTGTTTTCTCTGTTTTCTCTGTCGCTCGCTTGAAAAGAGAAATCCGTTCCGTTAGCGTTCTTCTCGTTTCTCATTGGAACGCTTTGCCGTTGAAACTTCCTCCTTCGGCTCTGCCGACGCGCACGACGGAAACGATCGCGAACAGGCCGGGTCGGCATTGCGCAGGCGTACAAATAAAGAAAAAAAGTGCGTCGGTGACGAGGAGACCGACTGCAAGCGGGAGAGGGGAAAAGCTCGAGGCGGCCGCTTGAAAGGTCGAAGGATACGCTGGCTTTTCGGAGCGCACTGCGGGTTACTTTTCAGCGAGAACGCGAAGCGCGCACGCGGCGCTGACGGGCAGCTATCCGTGGAATATGTAAGACGCCGCTGTCGTCCGCGCGCTAAATATACGCGAGCGAGGCTTCCTTCGAGCTCCCGTCAATGTCTCGCTGTCTCGTAATGTCGACCGTGAATCTGCCGCGTTTGATTTTTGCCAGGCCGGCGATTAGCTTCGAGACTGAGCGCCCTTCTCGCTGTCGTTAATCCACTTTCGCCTTCGATTTCGTTTTCAAGCACACGCTCGTGGCGACCCACGTATGGGCGACCAGACCCGTCGTCTAGACACGCTAAAGCTCTCGTCCTCGACAGCGGGCTCGGGCACGCAATGGGAGATCGCAGACGACGGTCTGGCTGGCAGCCAAAGTTTCGAGCTCACCACCCGCGCGAGTGGAGTTCGATGGATGTTCCATGGGCCGTGGGCTCGCGAGAATTTCATTGCCTCTGCGCAAATGTATCGGCCCTCGCACGTTTCCCACCGGAAGCAGTCGATTCGCGCGTCGCAAGCGACGAGTTGGTTCGAGCGCGTCAAAGCAGTAGCCTCGCTGAATTTCTCATTTGGCCGCCCACGATTCCATCGCATGTTCCTGTCGTAGGAGTGCTGCCTCAATTACAACGAAAGGCCTCCTCGGCGCACAGGAATTTTCATTTAATTACGGCAACTCGAGCGGTGACGCTCCACCGCGCTTTTATTCCCGACTGCGAAGACCTCGAGGACCACCCCGAATATCGCGATCTTCGCCCGTCGTCGACGGACTACGTTCGTCCCTAGCGACAAGCCGACTAGCCGACGGTCTGCGACACGACGCTCTCGGCCGCGCGAGCTCCAGGAGGCGCAAGCTCTGAGAAGCGACGAGCGGCCTGGTTCGAGCGCGGATCAGCCTCGCAACTGTTGCATCGATCTCCACGCGAAAGCTCCCCTCGCGAACGCACGCGCACTAGGCGCCAGCGACGCTGCACGCAAGAGCGAGCGCGAGTATCGAGCTCGTCCCGCGCCGCGCCGCGTCGAAAGAGCGGCGGTCGGCGGGCGCGCAAGCGCGAGGCAGTCTCCGCCGCTGCGCGATCGCCGTCGTCGTCGTTGTCGTCGACGACCGCCGCCGCGACCGACGGGCGTGCGTCCCTCGCGGCAGCCCGCGTCGCAGTCGATCGCTCGCCCGCCTTGTTCTCGAGCCGGGTCCGTGGCGCGGATCCAGCGGCTAGCGTCGAGTGCGAGTGCTGTACGGGTATGCGCGGGAACGGTCCGCCTGCGCGCGCGCGCACCGCTGGGCATCGATCGTGTCGCCAAGTGTGCTTCTAGGGCTCGCTCGCGTTTGTTTGTTTTCGTGCCGCAACGCTTTTGGAACGCGAGTGCCAAGTGCGATCGTGGAAGTGGCTCGCTGCCATCGATCCGCAACTGCCCCAGGCAGCAGGCCGATTGGGGCCTGCGCTCGACCTTGAAAGTCCGGGCCGCGCTTCATCGATTGGCAGTCGTGCGGATTCGACGAGAGCCGTGGGCATGTCGAGAGACGGATCGCGGTGATGTACCTCCGCCTCGAATCGACCTTTGTGGCTTTTCGCGCAGATCGACCAAATCATTGAGCGCGCAGAGCGAGCGAAGCAAGCTCGCGCGCTTCTGCGTGCTTTTTCAGCTCGGCGCGATGCATTGCTCGGAGAACGTGATCTTCGGTGAGGCCTGATCTAGATACGCGCAATAATGCAAGCCTGACTATGGCTACGCGCCACGTTGAGACTGATATTTTTGACTGTCGCGCGGGTGTCTGCTAAAATTACCCAATTGCTCAATCGTCACTCATGGTCACTCGCATGCTCGCGCGGTCTTCCGCGCGCTTTGTTACGCTGCCCGGATGAAAATGTACGTTCCAGTTTGCTACGTTAATGTCGCTTCGAACTGAAGGAACACTAATCGAGTCACGGCTGCCACGCGCTGCCTGGTCAATAGCGGAGTCGTGCGTCAAAACTCCGCGTTAAAACGAACGAAAAATACCGGCCCACTCGGACGGCACAGCGAAAAATAACAGAGCACGCTAATCAGTCGGTCGCGTCAATTATCGGCGCGTGCGTGACATTCGGAAATTAGGCTCGCGACTAACGTGCTCGTCATTCTCCACACGTTCGTACACATCTCGCAAGTCACCGAACGTATAGCGCGCTGTTATCGTCGAGCGCCTTCGATGTCAACGGGCCACGCGCAATTAGCGTGTGACTCAGATGATGACTTGTTAGCGGGCAGCGCGCCTTGAAACACGTGCCCGACCTACGAGCGAGGCGACGACACCGTGGGGCCGAGCGATTAATTTCGTACGGCTATACGTAAACGCCTACGATTAGCTGGTCGCGCTGCGCAATGCGTCGGTTGTCGATTCGTCGTCGCGATTATTCGCTCCGAACGGCAACGCCAGCGCTTTCAATTTGCATCTTCTCTTGCGATAGAAGCGTGATATAAGCATCGACCCCGAAATGCCACAAATCTCGATTCGAACGTTGTCCGATTTTGGATTTTAGAGTCGCGTGGGTGCGAGATCAGACGTGCGCCTCTCCAAGAATGAACTGTTGAGAGACAAACGCATCGCGTAAACGATATAGACGAGTCGGCGCGCGAAAATGTCGGCGGACGACTCTGCGAAAGGCGCGAAACGTCGTAGTGGTATTCCTACGTTCAGGCCACCGGCGACGACTTCGCGCCCAGTGCTCCCCCGCCAAGCCGATGTGCAACGTTTAGCCGCGGAGGACTGGGAACGAGATTCGGGTCTCTCGTCCGAGTGTACAACGCCGACGAATAGCTCACCGCCTCCTCGCCAGGTCAAGCCCGAGCCTCAACCCACGCAGATACCACGCAGAAAAATGGTCGATATCATCGCCGCGTCCAAGGCCAGGCTGCAGGAATCTGCGAGGTTCACAGATGATTCATATTCGGTTTTTTTTTTGCTGCCCTTTATGCGAGAGTGATCGAGCGTGAGGCGATGCTTGGAATCGCATGGGATTGGCATACTAATTGAGAAAACGAAACATTTCATGAAATTCAAAAACGTATAATATAAATGTATTTGAAGAAGCTTTACAGATTATAAAAACAATTCGTAAAGCGGGATGGTAAAATCATTCGCTGCAACACTCGTTAAATAGGCGCAAATAAAACACTTTCGGAAACACTATGAGCTATTATAACTCACAACATTCGAAAAGATTTCGTCAAATGTATATCAAATAATTTGCACTCGCAATTCTTCACAACATTTTGAAATTAAAAAAAATTAAGTACATAAAATAAGCTGAAAAGCTCCGAATATTATGTTTTTCGTAAACAGCTATAGTGAGTATCACTCTATTGGACGCTCTTCAAAAACTTTTCAATGGCTTGCTGATCTCTCTTGAGCCAAGCAGCGTTCAGTCTCACCGTTTCAATGCTTTGTTGAATGTTTCTCTGAGCACCCGGGGTCGGATGTTTCGCAAAGAACTCCTCGATGTCTTGAGCGTATTCTTCGGTAACGAAATTCTCCGTCGTGTATTTGACCAATGCCGTGAGCAAGTTGCCGCTCGTGTATCGGGCGGTCAATTTGGCGTAATTATCTTTGAAAAATTGCCAAGCCAAGATGCGTCCTTTGTAAGTCATCGTGGCCGATGCAATTACGTAAACCGTGTCTTGCGACCTGACTTCGTCGCTCATTGAAAAATCAAGAACACGACGGAGGAGAGCTTCGTCTTTCGTTGCTCCTAATGAGCTGAGAATCCTGTCTTTTTCTTCGTGTAAATCGTTTTCACGATACAGTTTTAGCAAGGTCTCAAAGGTACTCTCATCGCCTACTTTCAGTACGGCGCAATAAACTGCTTTTCGGAGGTCGGCTGATAACAGGTTCTTTCCTGCAATATGATCTGCAAAGCGCCTCTTCGATTCTTCAATCGTAGCATCGTCTTCGAAAGCTACCATGCGATTGATGACCAAAGCCCTGAAACGAATCATTAATATAAATATTTAACATAATATAGTTTTGTTAATAATAAATAATTATGGCTGTTACCTCAGCAAAGTATCCAGGTGACTTTCGTCCGACTTTTTTTCCCAGCCGAGACGGTTGTAAATGTTTTTCAAGAGGTTACGGCCAAACGCCTTGTATTGGGAGTGTATCTCTAGATGAGATAAGAGAATACCAATTTTACCCAATGAATTCACAATGCTAGACCATACCGTGTAGTTAGTTTCTCCTTTATATGCTTCCATTAATTTTAAAACTTGGCTACTTGAAATAAGCGCAGCTTGAGAAAGTGCGGAAAGATCATCTAGTAATCCTAGACGATCGAGAGGTGGCAAACTTTGATCTCTAATAGCCGGCATTAGTTGTTCAAGTAGTTCATTGCTGTATAGTGTTCTGTAAAAGCCTACTGATCCCGGATTAACTTTGAGCCAAGAATTTTTGGGCACGTTTTCAAATTCTATGTCATTGGATTTTACTTTCAAAATTTCGTTTTTAATAACTTTTTTTGGATCACTGGAACAACTGACCCCAATTGGTATAACCCATTGGTTATTTGTTGTATCTACTGAGCCATCAGCAAGAAATCTTTCTTGAACAAAGTTGAGTATCCTGGTGTTTTCCTTATTTGAAGGTTTTTCTGAAACTTTAAGAAGAGGAAAACCTTGTAGCTTTGTCCATGATGACATGACATAGCCAATTGGTTTCTTGCTAGCCTCTTCTAAAGCACTCCACAAGTCTCCAGTTTCAGCATTATTATAAGAATGTTTCTTCAAGTATAAATGCATGCCTTTTCTGAAATCATCGTCACCAATGTAAGCGTGCAACATCCTAATAACACTTGCTCCTTTGCTGTATGAAATATCGTCAAATATTTCCTCTATTTCTGATGGATGGCCAACTGGCACTTCGATAGGGTGACTATTTTTGAGAGCATCTAATTCTAATGCACTGATTAATGTACTTGTTACAAATTGAGTCCAGATATCATATTCTGGGAAAAGATAATCCACACACAAAAATTCAACAAATGAAGCATATCCTTCCTTGAGCCATAAATCTGTCCACCATTCCATAGTTACAAGATTACCAAACCATTGATGAGCTAACTCGTGTCCAACTACAAGAGCAACCCATTGTTTTCTAATAGCTGACGTATGCTGAGGATCAACCAAAAGACAAGTTTCTCTGTAAGTGACTAAACCCCAATTTTCCATTGCACCAGAGCAAAAATCTGCCACTGCAATCAAATCAATCTTTGGTAGGGGATAGGCAATATTGAAATAGGATTTGTAGTACGGTAAAACTTTAGTAGCAACGAGCAATGCAAATCTTCCTTGCTCTTGTTTTCCTTTTGGAGTATAAACTCTGACTAGTATTCCATCACTGGTCTTATCTTCAACATAATCAAATTCACCAATTACTAAGGCTACCAAGTATGTTGACATTATAGGTGTTGTATCATACACTAAAGTATGCAACTTTGGTGAAACTGGAGTAGTAGATATTATTGGCTGCAATTAAAATATTTATTAAGAATAAATTTAAATAATAATTCAAACAATCAGCAGAATTTATTTTTAAATTTTACCATGTTGGAAAGTGCTACTAAGTCTGTAGGTACAGTTAAGGAAATATCAAAGGTAGCTTTGTGGACTGGTTCATCCCAACAAGGAAAACAGCGTCTTGCATCTGTTGCCTCAAACTGAGTCACTGCTGCATACTTTGTACTTCCATCAGCACTATAAAATTCAATGACACACTACGTTACAGTTCTGACATGGATAATGCTATGAAATTCCATGAGTCCAGTGATCTTACCCAGTGTACTTGCTTCTGTAAAGACCTTTAAGTTTATCATTAATGATACCTTGGAATTCCATATGGAAAAATCCTGACTTGCCAATGGGTAACTTTTCCGGGAAAACAATTGTCGAAACCTCATTTTCGTCGTCAGTAGTAATACTTTGAGACTGAATTACTTTTCCATTGTCGTTGTAAGTGACTGAGTTAATAGCAATCTCACAGGAATTCAAAACTACCGTATCAGTTGGTTCAAGAGTCTAAAAATAACGTCAAAAGTTATCACGAGTTGATGATAAAAAAAGATATTACCGGTGTAATAATTGTGGAATCGCATGATCGATAACCTTAAAATTGCTGAGTAAGAGTACTCGAGTAGAGTGTAAAAGCGAAAGTAAGGTGGCATATACATACCTCGACGAAAATATCTTGCTTTCCAGTGAAGGTAAAACTGGTAAGGTCTGGATGAAGCTGGATTTTATAGTTGTAGGGCTTGACATTTTTTGGCAGACGATGGAACGGCTTCTTTTCGTTAGCCATATTCCTCTTTAAGTTTTGGAGTTGATCAGAAAATTGCCTTGATGTGGGTTGGTTGAGCGAGAAGACAGCAAATACAGTCGTTTCACAGTATTTTACTCGATGCAGATTAGATAAAGTTTGATAAGCACCGAAAGTCTTGCGAATGGTTAGCAACATTAATAAATGCCTGGAACTGCCGGTGGGCGACTGCCTAGGCAGAGAAACTATCAAGAGTCAGAGGGGCTACTCGCTCCTGCGACGCGATGACGTGTACGAGACCTCGCGCATGCGGGCTACGTGGAGCGCCGGCGCAGTATCAACTACTTACGCACTTTGGCCATTTGTTCAAACTGCATTCGGCAATGCTCGGGGTTAGGTCTATAATAATGCAGATATCAAATCAAATTGGGAAGAATACATCGACAAACAAATTTTACATCTTGCAAATAGAACTTCTTAATGATAATGCATTCGTACGATAATTATTATACGTGAGATAATTAATAGCATAACGAGTTATGCTCATTTTATGGTGTCACATACTTTTTATTGCCGTGTCATTTTAAGTATTGTAATTCTAAATAATTATATTTCATTACCTGTTCTATATGAAGATTACGATAAGGTTAGCGAGTAATTGTTTCATGTTTGTCGTTTGTTGCAGATTGAACAGTAATAACAGAGCAACAAAGCTATTCAATAGTAGGTCGAGCTCGGAATCGCCAAGGTCCCTGGATAGTAGGCGACCTCAAACGTTTAGTCCTCTCAGAACGCAACGAAACGTAAGGGACCATATTGATTCATTTTTCATTCGAACGACACGTTGTCTCTGAGTTTAGAGCTTTTGTTCCTCGCTTCAGATCCAGTCACCGAGCATAGATTCCGGAGATGAAGGAAGTCTCAGAATGGAAAGGGGAGCTTACAACTACATGTTTCAGGATATCGTTTCGATAAAAACGATGCTTTTGAAATTGAAACGAGTCCTTCAGGAGGTACAACTCCACGCTGAAGTTCCATTATCGTTTGTGCTTGACGTTGCCCATTCCTTTGCATTCGTTATTTCTTAAAAATATCCCATGCGCCTTAACATTACTTTTTATTTTTGTTTTGCGAGAGCACGGCGATTTTGTCGTTCCCATCAATGATCGTTAACACGCCTTTTGTTTTCTGTTCTGTTTTGTTTTGGTCCGCCTTGGTGTTGCATCCTTTTCAGTCGGAAGAGAACGGTTTGACGAGGGTAGGTTTTTACTTTTCGTTTCTTTGTATTCTGCTTTACATGTTTGTTTTATTCCATTCGCCGATCGATGATCATTCGCATAATTAAAAAGAAAACCTCGTTTCTATTTGCAGTCTGAAACTCTCAACCCATTCGACAATACTTTGAAGGTGAGCGAAATATTTCTCGACAGCAATGGAAAATCGCTTGTCGCTCGTTGCTTTAATGATCGCGATGACATTTCAGAATGCTCTCTTCTACAACCTGAACGACGGCAACACGACGACGGATGCATCTCTGAACGACGGTAGAGAAGCTGCCGCCGCCGTAGCAGACGAGCTGGCGGATTTGCGCCGGCAGGTGGTCTTCTTGCAGGGTCAAGTCGACGATAAGGATCGCACGATAAGCTCACTGCGGGTACGAGTTCCCTTCGCGTTCACTTTTATCAATCTCTGACGATTGCTCTCCTCGCACGTGTCTGCGCGAGAATGAGCGAAAGAGGGACAGCGAGCGAGGGGCGCGGTTAATGTTGCTCTGGGAAAAATTATTACTCGCTACAATGGCGCTGTAATTATTGGCGAGATATTGCGGCGTACGACTGAGCACGTTATTGTTATTCGCAGGCTCAGCTCACTAAATACCAAAACGGAACGGCCGATCTTTCACTGACGACCAACAGCGATGACGAGGCTACGGAGAAGTGTAATGCAGCTACGCAAACTGAAAAGGTAGGCATCCTTTTGCCTAGTTCTCCGTCCAGTTTAATCCAATCCATGGTACTTTAATGCAGTCTAGTTTAATAACTAAGAGGATCGAAAATCTACATTCATTTGTCATGGTTGCTTCGATATCACACTAAAGTGAGAGCAATCTGTGCATATGAGAATACTTTTTTTCTTAACATTCCATTCTATGCCATGGTCATATGCTTTGACGTGGTTAACATCAACGGTAGAGTAGGCTCTGGGGGGGGGGGTCTAGTCTTTCACCTAGGAGGTCAGCTTATAAATGCTACCGGAGGAAGAAAATCAGTCGAAAATTCCTTCACTCAGCTTCATACAATTTAAATCTTTTAAACATAGAAGGATTTTCGTGTGGTGACGATGTTCGACTCATTTTCTTCTTTACCTTTAGCAGCATTTATAAACTGGACTCTCAGGTGAAAGACTATACTCCCTTCCCCAAGCATCCTACTCTGCCGGCCATATTGACTACGTCATAGCATATAGCCCTGGCATAAAGATACAGTAGTTGACTGATTCTTTTGTTACAATTCAATCTTTATGACATATTAGCATGAGCGTAGACCTTAGCTTGCAAATCCCTGAATGCGTATTACATGTTTCTACTCACGTTTTCATGGAAACGTTTCATAAGTTTCTGTCGATGTATTATACAACTTTGTTTTACACTATATGCCGATATTTCTTTCCATGTATACATACACGCAAATAGCAGCAAAAACAATGATTTTTTTTCATAATTTTTTTAAAGCTACGACCAGTGTCTACGGGGCCGTCGATTTTGCAGTCACTTTCTCAGGATAGTAATGGCATGGGTTCTCTCATCAGGTGAGCTTTCATACATCATCTCATTTGTTTGTTGTTACAGATAATGATAAACTATCTCACTAATTTGCTCACAACGTACTTTTCGTCACCGATCATTTTGGCATTGTAAAGTGTGACAAAGTTGCCTTTGTCACTCTTCGTGTGTGCACTGCTAACACGATCCGGCATTCAATTTAAATGAAAGAAATTTAAATCGAACTATTACTGATCGCACTAACGATAAATCATCCATCAAAAAAAAAAGAAACTAACTCATTGAATCGTAACCTGATTGTTATTGCTGACTGGGCTTGCGGTGATGATGCGGCTTGATGATAACGTAACGCAATCACAGCTTCAGGATCGGGAAGGTAGAGTGCGTCAGTCTATGTGACTTACTGTTGGGATACATACTACTTTGCGCGTTCAATGCTCTTATTTATATGCACTTGGAACACTTGCAGCCCATTCGTTCTGCTTTACGTAGTTTTATACTTTTGTGCTTCTCCTTTCTAAAATTGTGTGCATGAAAAGTCGCATTTATTTATTCATTGGTTTCTTCCTTTAATACTTTCTTCTCCTGTTCAAGCTCGTAGATTTCTTTTTGTAGAAAAGTAATGTATGCATAAGTGTTGAACAGAGTTACTTGAAATTGTTAGCCTTTATCAGAGTGTATATCGAATTATGTAAGACTGCATTTAAAATGCGTTACAAATCAAAAGACGATAAATTATATTCAATTGAAGTGGAATAAAACTCAACTCTGTTAGAAATTGTTTATACTTTACTATCGTATCTTCCTTTTCTTGAATTTTATAAATTTTTATTTTAATTTGTAAAGTGGTTTGTGTAAAAAAACTATGATATTAATATCGTTATTACTTCAAAAATAGTGTAAATGTGCATAAAGCATGAAATCCCCAGATAGATATATTTAATAAGGAGAGTTCCAAAAGTGATTTTTGTTGTAATTTTAAACTATAATCGATTGACATTAAATAATGTTTCACGCTGCAATGGTTAGCCGCTGGGGGTGAGTTCACAAATTAATTTCTAATTCTGTTGCAAATTCAAGACTTAAATTAGCATCAAGACGTGGATCTCTGAAAATAATCTGCATGCGAAGCAACGAAGTATATTCGATTGCGATATTTCACGTGAAAATTGATTGCAGCTGGAATGATTCGCGGAGCAGTCAGCAGAGCCCTAGCAGTCAACGATATTCGGGAAGCGTGAGCGACCAGTCGGAACAGAGCTTCCCGCACAATAACTTGAGTAACGGCAAGATAACGGCGCCATCGTCGACCTCGTCGTCGCGACGCTCGTCGTCGGACTCCTCACCACAGCCGGCGCCGCGACCCAACAGTTTGCGCGGCCTCAAGATACCTAACGGTTACAGCGGGTCGCCCCCGGACTCGCCGAAGATGAGATCAGCGATCCCCGCGCCGAGAAGTCGACTCGCTACTCCCACGCTTATCCCGAGGGCTACGAGGGCTGTGTCTGCCAGCGGCCGAGCGCACAACACGTAGCAGAGCCTCGCTCGTTTTTTGTTCTTCCAGCGAGTTCTCTATCTGCAATGCCTGCTTGCAAGCTCTCTTGCAAGTACTTCCCAACGAATGAGCTTGCTTGGAAGTGTTCTTGCGATGCTTCAAATTATTTGATTGTGGTTTTACATAGTAGATGTGTTATTAAGTTTATTGCTTTCAATCGTTTTGTGCTTCATTTTAATTGACCAAACCTTGAAATTACTGTTGAGTTGTTCATTTAGTTTACAATCATATAGTTTCCTTGTCATGAAGTGTCGAATTCATTTGTGGATTTTGATGTTTTCTTCTACGTTACTTTCGTATCTTTTGTATATAGTGGGTTTCTAAGGCAACGCCTTCGCTTTATTCACGTTTCACATTTTTTTTCATAGTAGCACGTATTCTAGCGTGATATTTTTCTCTTTTTTGAGAATACTGTATATACGAAAAAACTTGCGTTAACTATTAAATTTATGTAAAACGACAAATTACGTTTTAGATTGATTTTCAATTAGTTTTATTTGATACTGATTCCTTTTCCAGAACTATTAAGTGCATATCCTTTTCGTATTGTTTAAGCACTTTCAAAGTGGAAAATCTAAATTTATGTTATATAGTAAGTATAAACAAACTGAACTGTCTCATCGACTTACTAATGGCACTGTAAATCAATAACACGTGAATAATTTTTGCTGTAAAAATGAAACCTGTGCGCACGAAAAAAATATCATCGCTTAAATAATAAGGGAAAATTGATCAGCATTTCGAAAGCGAAATATGTAGGCTTCTTGCATGTAAATGGCAGGGTTTATTTTGAGCTTTGATACTTAAATTTATATTCAACTTGTAAAGATTTAACTTATTTTTTGTATTGTTATCGGTGCTATAATTTTATGATTATACGCAAGACGTGCTAGGCAGATGTAGATTTTTAGTTTAACTTGGCGAATGATGTACTTTAAAAAGTCAATAAGGATAATAATAATGAAGTGTTAAAATCATGCACAAATTATAGTTATTTCAACTTTTTTTAAATTTCTTATTAGCTACTATTATTACAAATCACTTTTAAACTAATAAAGTTTAACAAAATATAAATGAATGGATTAGGCTTTTTATAACTGCAAGAAATGAAAGTGAATTTCGTACAGAGATCATGCGTTAGAAGCCATTTTTAGTGTTACTGAGTACAATATTGATTAAAATGTTTAGATCCGGTTAGCTTACAATTTAGTCTGATTGAGTGAAATACCTTAGAGTCATGGAATTTCCGGAGCACATATTTAAAATGTTGAAATTTTGTACTATACCACTCATTGACTCAAAAGGTAGCTGCTAAGACTTTTAATGATTATATCACAGGTAATAGACAAGAAAAACCGCAAATAAATAAGTCTTTGTAATAAGGTGAAAAAAGCAACAAAAATGCGGCAATGAAAATGACTTATTTTGAGGACGTCCACCCAATTCTTATTCAAATGAACTGTAAGAAATAGATTCTAAACTAAATAATCTGATCAAAGGAAACCTAATAATGTAGCAGTTATGGTAGTAGTAACATTGGTATTGTCCCGATGCAAACTGCAAATAAAACAATAAATAAAGTATATTTGCTGATACAAAGAATTATTTGATCTATCAGCCCTCATCTCTTGTAATGAATTCATTATTTTCTGATAACTGCTGAGCGAAAGAGTATACAGAATGCAAACTCTATGAAAAATATTCATTAGTTTTATAACAAATTTTTATGAGATATTTTTTTACTGAGTGAAGTTACGTATAAATACATATGAAGTTTTGTTATGGATTTCCAATTTATTATTAAAAAACATACATCAAAACGGTAACAAAAACTTTTAAGTAAATTTTTGATATTTTTTTACTATATGTACATTGAAACAAAAGCTAAATACATTTTATATTATTGAATTGTAAAACTAGGTTGATTAAAATATTATTCAAATTAATTTTTACACATAACTCCAAAGTAGTATTATTTTATAATGCAATATTATACTTTATTGTCACACTTTTTGTCCTTATCGCACTCGCTCGACTCCTTTTTTACTGTGACTTTATTGTCACTCCATCGGCTGTCACTTTTAGATTTGCACTCAACTTGTGCTCCGTTTATTTCAGCAGTATTTTTTTCGTCTTGGATTTCAACAATTTCGACACGCTTGTTGTCACTCTGCACACACTTAGACGCTATGTGATATATACTTTTTAAAGATGTGAAGTACGAATGCGACTCAGTCTGAAAGCCAAATCAATTGAAAAGTTATACATTGTTTAATAGATATGAATAAAACATATGCCAAAAGTTGACTTACCGTTACTTTCTTTAATTTATCATCGGCACTTCTCAGTCTATCTTTGTACACTTTTAAGTCGTCTGAAAGATCTTTGATAATATTGCTTTGTTTAGTCGATTTTTCACTAACAGCAGTTAGCTCATGCTGTATCTCCATCATTCTAGTTTCAGTGTCTGTACGGGCGCTTTCTGATCTTGTTAATTGGCTAACTAATTTTTCTACATCTAATAAAGATCCCTTGTATATGATAAAGCCTTCCGGTACAGATTCACTATTACTTTCTTCACTAGAATTTTCTCTACGAGCTCTCTTGGAAGCTGGTCCGCTTCCAACAAATACTGGTAATAGCTTTTTGTTTCCTGCAATGTAATATTCTATTTGGTATAAAATATTTTATGGCACAAAAACATTAAAAACGTCTTATTTTAACCAAAGCTTACCCAAGGCAAGAGATTTTAACAGTTCTTCTTCGCTTTCAGTTTTAGAGGAAGCTACATCGATTTTTTCGCTGTCTTCTTTTTTAGAATCTTTACTATCTTCATCTTTAAGTCTATCAGTCAACTTACGATAATGTAAAGAGTCCCTTGTAACGACTTTTTGAACCAGTTTTCGAACTTGTGCGCGAGACAAGTTCAATCCAAGAGTATAAATTAATTCTTCGATGTCTTTGTCAAAAATATAACCGCAGTGTGTTTGATCAAAGTATACAAATGATAGGAGGAGATAAGGATCATGAGTGTATAATTTAATTTTTTTTCTTTTGCCATCTTTATCCTTGTCTTTCTTGCCCTCCTTTACCGAATCGTCATCCTGAAAAAATTAATTTATTAATTTGAATTCTTTGGTTATAATTTTTATGTTGGTTTACATTATTGTTTTAAAATTACCTCAGAGTCATCATCGTCATCATCATCTTCATCATCATTTTTATCTTTATCTTTCTCATCTTTACTTTTGGCATCTTTATCATCTTTTTTGTCTTTAGTGTCACTTTTCTTTTCATCTTTTTTATCGTCTTTCTTTGACTTTCTATCGTCATCTTTTCTTTTATCCTCTTTACGATCCTTTTTCTTATCATCCTCTTTCTCTTTTGGTTTTTCAGGCAAACTACACAGGGCGCGATATATTCGGAAACCAAAATCACGCATGAGCATCTCATTGAAAAGTTCGGCGAATAAAGAAACTTCAAATGAATGTTCCTACAAAAGAGTCATAGAAAGAATTATTTTTTTAGATGATAATAACATTATAAACTTTTTATCTAAATTTACTTTTGTATCTTCTGGACGATAATCCAGTAAAACACTCAAAGACATCATAGTACAGTCAAATTTGCCACTTTTGGCAGTTTTAGAAGGATGAACAATGATTTGTGGATTTTCTGGAAGGTTGTACCGCTTTTCTAGTACAGCCTTTTCTCTTTCGTAAAGCTTTTTCTTATCTTCATCGTACTGCATATAAAAATAAAATTATCGCAAAATATAGATGCAGATATAAATTGTAATTATCGCAGTAAACGCACCTCCTTGTTTTCTTTAATAGATCGCTTCTCTTCTTTCGGTTCATCTTTGGGTGACGGCGTACTCTCTTTATCATTTTCGTCGACGTCGTCCTGTCTACCTTCTTCTTTGGCTTGTTCTGACTTTATAGCCTTAGCAAGTCTCGCCTGCAGTTGCGATTTCAAGCCTTTTGAGCTTATACTACGAGAAGCCAATTCCTGACGCAAGTCGTTCACCTATAATGAATCAAATTATTAATTCACGCTACTCAACTTCGATAAAGCTCTGAAAAGACTGAAAGAGTACACTCACATTCATATTCTTTGGGTCCAACTCAGAATAATGGGTGGGATCCTTCTTTTCTGGTATTGTTTCATCCTGCAATGAGACAGAAAGACATCATTAAAGAGATTAAAACGTTGGACGAGATACTACAAAATTGAAGCAGCGCCTATAACCAAACAAAACTGCAGTCTTATAATCGACCACCTATGCATCCAGTTTGGCATTCATTCATTCATACAGTCTATGTTAAGAATTAACAACGATAAATATCTTCGTTCACGATGGCCTCTTAACACGATTCGAGTAACTGCTGGACGCTCGTTAGTGTCCTGGGCCTGGTGTCAGTGTGGCACGGTGGATTTTAAATGGATTCAAAAAAATTGTTCATAACCAGCATATGTAGAAATGGAGATTAAATTGAAAAGTCACCTCGGTAAATTTGCTTGAAAGTTCGATTGGAAAAGTAATAATAGTACATTACTCAGCTGCACACATATCGCTCTCCGTGCTAGGCTTGCGCTCTCGCCTTGCTCATTAAACGTAATCAGACTGCCAGAGAGGCTCGGACAGTGTACGAGCGTGCTCGTTGATCGAATTTCCGGCTTTTAAAAAGTGCACAAAAAGCAGCATTGAAACTTAACATGCGATGGCAATTGGCGAATACGCGTGAAATTCCATAGGGACGAGCACGCGCGTCACGTCGACCACAAATAAAAAAACAAAACAAAAAAAAAAAAAAAAGATGAAAAAAATCAATTCAAGACACCAGTTTTGGCAAACGGGGAGACAGCTGCACGCAAAGATCGAAACAGTCAAAACAGCAAATAATCGAGAGGTAAGAGACATTAACGATGTGCACAGTATGTAATAGAGACAGTATATAAATAGGTAAATGGAAAATCGTATGGGATGATGATAAGGGCAGTGCCTTTTGATCAGCGACTCCGGCAGCTTGGGCAGCATTGGAATCGCTCGCGTTCTCTCCGGAAGCAGTGGCAGCGGCAGCGGCAGCGGTAGCAGCAGCGGCAGCGGCAGGAGAAGCTGTGCTGATGGTCGTAGAAGCAGCAGCCGCGGCAGTAGCGGGAGGAGCTTCGAGCTCCTTGACATCGTCGGGTCGCAGCAGCTTACGCTCCAGTTGCTTTTTGTAGCCAAGATGAAGACCGTCCCATTCGAGCCTTGTGGGCACGCAGCGCCAAACATCTGGGAGAAATAGTATCACGGTTTCAACGCGAGAGGGTACCACACGGCCGGACTTGTGGGTCGTCTCAGCACGCCTGTAGTAGAGCTCCAGGAAGCGGTACCTGCGCCGCAAGGAAAACAAAACAATACCCAATGCGTCACACTCGTCGAGACAGAAACAGAGACAGATAGAAAATGAGAAAGAGAAAGAGAGAGAAAGATAGAGAGAGAGAGAACGCGAGAGAAAGAAAGAGAGAGGAGGTTAATGCCTGCCTGCCTTCTGTGCTATGCTACTTTCTTTTCTTACTAGTTTTTCATTACTGCTCAAATCAAACAACGAAATACCCCTGCATCTGTTTTTCTGCAGCATACACATACACAAGCCGACAGACCCAAATGAGTAACGAAAATATTCTTTCTTTTTTTTTTCGAAAAACTTATGCAAAATAATAACAGTGATAAACAACTGAAAGCCTGACTGATAAAACGATGGCGCACCTTTGCTGCTCTCTCGGTTGGTTGCTCATAGAGCCAAGGTACGTGTATACATACCTTGCTGTAATTTTTCTCCAGCATCGAAAGCTAGGCTAATAAGTCGAAACTCGCATCTTTCTTAAACTGCGATACGCGTTTCTATTTTTCTGCAACTATTCCTTGATTTGAAAGAGTCATCAGACTTATCTAATTAAATTGGTAATTATAAAATTATACAAAAAATTTTGTTGATGAAGTCTTCGAATCAGGAATATTGCAAATCACAAATAAGTGAAGTATCTAATTCAACTGTAAAACATTTCTGGTAGTTTTACGTAATAGTTTCAGTTAGTTTACATAATTTGAAAAGAAGATTAAGACTCGCACACAAATTTACAGAGATAAGTGCATTAACCTCGACGGTTTACTGTCTGACGTAAAAACACAAAACTTTTAATAAATGACGGTATAAATTAAGTCGTACCATTGCGTGCAGTTGGACAGATCAATCCCCGTTAAGGCTTTGCAAGTTCTGATGGCAGTCTTGATGAGAACAGATGGATCCTTATCAGGATTTAGCCCATCTAGTGATGGACTCCAAGGCCCTCCGATAGCCATTGTCTCGTTTTTACCGCGTAATCCGACCAAAAAGTTAATGAGACGAGTAGGATGTATGTAGTCACGATCGTTATCACGGTCCTCGGTTACTCCACAACAACGCTTGTAAATTTCTTCCATGGCAGGCATAGAAATCAACATGACCTATGAAATTCAATAGATTACGTCAGTTTCGTCGTACGTATTTTATACTATTATTACGTAAATATTAAACACACCTTTGCTGAAAATAGGTAATCCGCGTCAGGAGGTTCTAACACAGCTACATTCTCAGTAACGGATTCAACATCTTTGTTCATCACATGGAAAGAACATGGTTTATTAAGTGTAAATGGCATGTGTGGTGGAAACGCGTCCACCCATCTAAAATTTGTAGAAAAGAAGTCGCTGGGAATGTACATGTTTTGGTAACGTCTCTTGACTTCCAATACATCTGCTTCTGGCCTATACATAATGTTTGAAAAGCGTGAATAAGTTATTGTAGCATAAGCTATATTTAGAAACGTTGATCAATAACAGTACTTACAAATCAAGAGCTATCTTTGGTATTTGCACCATATATCTAGGAACGATTCTTGTTCTCCTACGTGGTCTTGGCGATTTGCTTCTTCTTGTCCGTGAAGGACTGCGCTCTTCTTTCTTTTCTCTTTCTCTTATTCTTTCTTCCCTACGTCTTTTTCTTTCAATTTCCTCTTCATCTCTTCGATCACGAGATCTTTCTCTGACTCTTCCAGCCTTATTGCGATTTGTTACAGGAGGTACATTTGTGTTGTTTGCACTAAATCTGTAAAATAAGAATTTTGATGAAACCAACTGAAACACAGTAGATTTGGTTGTATTGACGCTATTATTTTGTAAAATACCTGCTGTTTGCATTTTCGTTGGGGGGTGGAACAGCGTTGTATGTTCCAGAAGTTCTAGGTGGCTGTGCTGGTCGAGTAGTGGTAGTAGTTTGCTGCGTTGATGTGTTACTATTATTGTTTCCCATGGGAAGCACTTGTATTCTAGTTGCATTCCATTTAAATGGCATTGAAGGATTATAGGATGCTTCAACCAAAACACGATCACCTACTGCTGGATTTGAACCTTTGACACATGCACTGAAAAATTAAATGTGTTAATGACATAACATTAGTAAATGAATGTACAAAAATAAAATTACATAAGTATTTATTACCTTGTTTGGAAAAATACATCTTCATCAACAAATCCAAAATTGTCATGGACTTTGGTAACTGTACCTGTAAAGACTCTTTGTTTTGTTGATGATGGAGGCACATTTTGCTGAACTTGTTGAGCAACTCCAGCTACTGACTGTGTAAAAGCATTGGTATTTAAAGCTCTCGGTGTTGGATACGAAACAGTGGCCACCTGAGGATATAACTGTCCAGCGATGCTAGAAGGCAAATTAGAACCCAGAGTTGCCATGGATGCCATAGTTATGTTTGGCTAGAATAATAATTTTTAAATAGTATTAACCAAGTTAGTTTTATGATTATGTTATTAGATTTCAATGATAGTACTAACTTGTTGCAAGCCAAGACTTTGTTGATAAACCTGTTGGTTTGGTTGTTGGTACTGAACCATTGGTTGACCACCCATACCACCCATTGCTTGACCCAGCATTTGCTGCTGAATATTTTGAATTCCTTGACCTAAAATATAGCGTATAAAAATAATTGAAATAAATTACATAATAGAATTTAACCAATGTTAAAATAACTTTAGCAGATGCATTATATTCTGAATGGTCATTGATAATTTCTATTGTGAATACAATTGAGATAAATTAAGAAAAAACTAATTTTTTTTAAATAAATAAAATACTTAATACTTACGAAAGTACATGGTAACTTATAACAATTATAATATGAATTGATAGGTAAACTCGACGTGTATTGACAAAGGCTTACAGCTTTTTTTAACGATAGAATAAAAAAGAAAAAAAGAAAGAAAAAAAGAAAGGCAAAATTATATTCATCAGACTGAGCGAGAAATGAATCAGTTAGCGCTATAATTCTTTGAAAAACCCACTAAAACAGAGTGTTGGCAAAGTCACGAAAATTGGTGAAAACGAACGTAGAGGCCACCTAGTTAAAATATCCTCTTTCGCGATTTCGATCGTATTAATTTGAAAAGCGTAGGTCGAGTATGCATCGGGCAGTTAATTGCATCGGACGTGAGCTTGGCAATCGGTCATGTGTCACACACACCGTGTTGTCTCTCACCTGCATTGCGGACCCAGGGCGGGTTCTTGCCGCCGCCAAAGGGCGATATGTTGCTCATCTTACTAATGACGCACTGAAGAATAGCGAGGACTACTGTTTTCACGCTTTCGTCGAGCTAGTTTTGATGGTCTGCTCTGATTATTATGCTTTTTATGAGGTCCCCGACCACGCACAGCGTCCTTCACTTCGGCGCCATGTTTCTTTTAGTTAGGCTCCCCTTTAGCGAGCCGCCAACACACGCACAACGTGTGACACACGCGCACGGTGCCGCCGCCGCGACTTTAATCGCGATCTTTCTACTGCGTGAGTCGATTGAGCCGCTGCTGTTTCTTTTCCGATCATTATATTGAGATTGTCCGATAGGCATTTTTTACTTTTTCTTCGTTTTCTGTTCCTGTTTAGTTTGTTGTCTTCCACAGTGTGTACAGATGAATAGTTGGAAAGAAGTTCTTACTTATACTAACTAGCGAATATAATAGTTTTCTGTTTTATCGATTCCATTGTAACATGGTTTATATTATTATAAGGTTAAAAAATACATTGAAAAAATATTAACACTATTCAAGTGTATTAAGCTTTGTTTATTTTTACGATAGGTTATGTAAAATAGGATTTCATTTTTAATCATGAATAACAAGATGCAAAAAATATTAAATTTTATGATTTTTTTGAAATTGGCGGGCTCAAGAGTAAACTTCTTCGAACCGCGATTGGGCTAGCCTCTTTATTTCCATGGAAAATTTCACCAATGAATGCATCTCCTCGTCGGAACTCCAACATTACGTAATCATTATCCCTCTCTTCTCGGCGTACACATCGTCCTTCTCTTTCTGCCGGAAAAACACGTGCTCGTCTCTCCGATACGCGGTTTCTATATATATATCCTTCCCAGCCCCCTCTCCGTCCTTTTTTCAATCCAAAATCATAAATAAACAAAAAACGAAAAGAAAAAGACGCAAACTCCAGTGGAAAGGAAGAACGAGATTGTGTGAGATTCAGTTTGAAGCAGCATTGAATAGCAGCAAGGGAGAGAAGCAAGTGGACGACGAAAAATGGCGTTGGCATCGATTTGCCGGCGGCTGACAATTGATTCGACCTTCAGCTGTACAAACCTTTGGCACTCGGCAGTCGGCGCCCGGACAAGTCGCAGCTTACCGCTCATTGACTCAGTGAGGACTCTCGCCCAAGAGGCCGCCAAGAAAATGGGTTTGCCACGAGTGTTCTTCGACATGAGTGCCGATAACAAACCCGTCGGCCGTATCGTCATGGAGGTCAGATTATCATCATCATCATCATCTGTTTTTCACATGCGTATTTTGACTTTCGAATTAGCTTTTTACCTTTAGTACACAATTGTCGATTGCTTTGGCTAAGGTGCACCCATTCTGTGTCGTTTATTAAGTATTTCTTTTACGATTTTGAACCGTTGAGATATTCGTCCGCAATCGGCGCTACTTTCGCGGCGCATTGTTTCATTCTGCCTGCATTTTATTCGAAACTCTTCATTTACAAACGAGTAATAATTTTGTATCGAGAGAATCGTTGCTATAAATTATCTTGGACGACGCTCCAATTTCGAACGTGTATCGCGGGAATTTCAAAGATCTTTAAAGAGTAATTATCATATTTTTTTGCGAATGATCAAAAGCAACGATTACGACGGTCTTCGGCTGTTACACCTAAACTCGTGGAACCGACATTGATCAAAGAACATAAACTTTTGTGCCGGACGTGTAACGCTAACAAAGCGCGATTTGGAAAGTGCACTGCGGGGGCTTTGGCGCGCTTTTGTGATAATGAAACGCAAAGCCAGCCGTCGCCGCTGAAATCCGCGGGCAGTCGCGGGGGGTACAGAGCTCTCGCAACGAAAATCGAGCCCGCAAGCTCGGCGACGATTTAAGGCGAGCGCGCGAGCACGTGCATTACGGATAATCTTTTGTCGGCTCGGCTTATAGTCTTGGCGGCTGACGAGCGCAGGACAGGCGGGAGAGCAAGGGGCAAGATACTGGCTGCAGCAGTAGCTTCGTGCACATTTGACCCTGTCCTCAAAACGCTATTTCCTTCTTTCAACTGGCCGAAGGAGGTCAAGTGCCATTACGCCCGGTAATTTCGGCTCGTTAAGCATCGCTCGCGCCATCCACGTTGTGCATGCGGCGACAAGATTGCGCGAAAGTATGCGTCTGCATGATAATTGCGCGCTTGAATTCGCTCGGCCAGTGCGGCTAGTGGGCGGCGAAAGCAACGCGCGACGATGCCGTTGTCGTTGTTGTTGCAGTTGCGCAGCGACGTGGTGCCGAAGACGGCGGACAACTTCAAGATGCTGTGCACCGGCGAGAAGGGCTTCGGCTACAAGGGCAGCAGTTTCCACCGCGTGATCCCGAACTTCATGTGTCAGGGCGGCGACTTCACCAACCACAACGGCACCGGCGGCAAGTCCATCTACGGCAACAAGTTCGAGGACGAGAACTTCCAGCTGAAGCACACCGAGCCGGGCGTCCTCTCGATGGCCAACGCTGGGCCCAACACCAACGGCTCGCAGTTCTTCATCACCACCGTGAAGACCAGCTGGCTCGACAACAAGCACGTCGTCTTCGGCAAGGTCGTCGAGGGCATGGACATCGTTCGGAAGGTTCGCCACACTTTGATCGCGCTTTTGCCTTCCAGCAACGGTCACCGCACGCCGCCGTACCCACCTCGAGCGGCGTGCCTGTCAGCTGGAAGGAGAGTACAAGTCAACCACATTGCTTCGCGCTATCCTGCTGATAGTGCGAATCTCGAGGTTGAGACAGCAGCACCCGCGAAAAGGCCGCGTCGGCCCTGCACTCTTTTGCGCTCGACGCCGTCGCGGCCGAGAATAGAGCCGGTCCACCGGACAGTGCGTGAAATTCGATAGCCGGGGGTCACGGCTCGATATATCGCGGCCCTCGGCCGAGTTCGGTCGTTTTCACGATACCGGGGCTTGTTGCAGATCGAGGCGATGGGCTCGCAGAGCGGGAAGACGGCCAAGAAGATCGTCGTCCAGGATTGCGGCGAGGTGAAGGCATAGGGAGCCCCGGCGAAAGCAGCTAGAGAGACGCACAGAAGTGCGACGCCACGAATCCGACGCTCACTTCTGTACCATTGCCCCACCTTCGCTTGCCACGATGACGCCACGTACACGACGGATTTCCTGCGCAGCGCGATATTCCTCGATAGAGACCTGCTGCGCGCGCGCCTGCTCGCGCTTTCAAGCACATTTCGAAGAAAAATAAAACGAAGCATTTAGATACGAAGCTTAATCGTGTGGAACGTTGTTTGTCGACGTATTTCCCTAGTGCATTTTTCTAACATAATTTTCGATCTTTATTGCTCACTCTTTGCTGACCGTGTCTCGCAGAAAAAAGCAATGCACGCTTATTTTTTTACCGGTAAACCGCGAAATGGATGGTTTGGAAAAGAAAGAGGGCAAGTTGTTACAAAGAGCGTAGCTCTATTGATCTGTGCTAGTATGGATGTCTACAAAAATAAAGTTGTTTTCAAAAAAATACCATTCGGCTTAATTTATTTGCTCGAGGCGTACACACGTCCGAGGACAACGAAGAGGATAAGAGGGGTAATAAAGGACGCCTGTTTCAACATTGAAGATTTATTTTGGGCAACATTCGGTAATTGTCTGCACCTGAATTTGTCTCGATACAGATGAGTCGGATCTAGCGATAACATCGATTTCTCTACGGTTCGTAGATGCGTAACGTCGTCGTTTAATGTAATGCCGTCAGCATTCAGTGACGCCCTCGTCTTTGACATTATTCTGTATTCGTTTTTTTTTTTAGAATATGTAGCTTCAACCGCAGTGTCCGGCGACGCGTACCGCTTTTATAATCGGTTTATTTGCCTCGCTCTCCCGCATCGTATCGCAATCATCAGACTCGCAAGGATGTCAAGTTTTTGTGATCCAACAAGCGCCAGTGGCTTTTCGCTCGATAATCCGATTTAAGGAGGTTTAGTATGTGTAACGTCGATTCAAGTGGCTGTTCGTGCTAGGCAAGAAAATCGTTGTGGTCGATCACTAAACATTGACATCGATGCGACCTTGCGTTCTTCTCCTTAATTTTCTATCCTTAGACGACAAAGTAAATATTAGGGGGCATAAGTTGGCTGGCGAGAATAAAACTGCCGGCTCGCTCCTTTTCCAATGCAATAATCAATAATCAGAGTGGCAAGTGTGGAAGATTCGATTCGCGTACAAAATATTTTGCTGCAATCCTACGCGCACAATTAAGTATATTGCTGATTGACTCACTTTTCATTCGATTCTATTCTTATCAATTCGTCATCGCATTGAAAAATCCTGCGCGTGCTCGTCCTCGATAAAAGCAATTTCAACCGAAAACACTTGTCAATCAATTTTTTTTTCATTTTGCGTCAATTATAATTTGTACTAATGAAAAGATGGTGAGTTACGATTGGAAATTGAAAGGAAGACAGATCTCACAGTGAAAATCAAAGTTTGAAATGTTTACAACGAAAACAGCGAAAGGAATTCATTTTCCAAGTAACATAATTGTCAAATTCAGTATGTAATACGCGAAAAGTTGTGAACGCTTTTGCCGACACAGCAAATTTACCACTATTATGCAATCGCGACGACACACGCACGCAGATTATCTCTTTTGTCAATCTGTCGCCATCGCCAGGAACATTCAAAGCGACTCAGTGTCAAATTTATTTACAGTTTTGCATCACAATGAATCCATCAAGCTTCGCGCGTGCTACAGTTTTATTTCTTCTTTCTCAAGTGCGCAACAGACTCATATACATCTTAACGTGGTGGTAGTATTGGCCGATGAAAGTGCTTTATTGTTTTGATGCTCATTTCCGTCATAATTTTTCATGTAATAATTTCGGTTGTACGTACGAACTCAACAATTCTGATACGTCAAACTACGCTTGGTCGAACAATAATAACAATTACATATTGTATTTTTTTTCATACTAACGATTGTCTATACATTCATGAAAGTGGTCCGTAATTTATTTGTTTTAAAATTCCATCCAGAGAATGATAAAACCAGATCTGCTAATACAAAGTTACTCCAATTTGCTTTATACGCTTTTATACATTATAAAATCATTGTTTACTCAGGGTACTCTCCAAATCTAGTTGAGGCGATAAAATTCAAAATATTACGTCGTAATTAGCTGAGTATAAAAAATGAAAGATACACTTGTTATCTTTTTCGCTTGTTGGAAAAGGAAAACAGAAAGTGACAACTCATCAAACAAGAATTTATATACAACACAGCAGATGTATACCGGGTATAGAACTCACCTCTGCCAGGTATGCAACTACCTATCAACATTTACTTCATGAAAAATACTTTTTACACTTTGAAAACGGCAAGTTATATATAGGTAATATTTAAATCTCGAGACAAGATAATCTATGTTTACGAACGAAAAATAATCAACTGTAGATACTATATTAATAAGTTTAAAGCTACGAAGGACACGTTAGACTTATGCTTATATATAATGGAAAAAAGCGCACTTTTTGTACGCAACGACGTTTTGCCCTCACTGAAAAATCCAGCAATTGCATTTGACCGGTAACATTATATATTCACGTCCATGTATAATTATCGTTACACCGTACAGAGCTAAAACGCACTTTGCAACGCTGATCGAGGAAAAAAAAATTTGTTACATATTTTTGCCACAACTGCTTTTCCTTTGTTACATGTACAAACGGGTTCTTACGGATTTCAAGGGCAGAGGATAAATTGTATTTTTATTCTTTTTCAAACCATTGATTTTAATCGCAACATTTATAAATTCAATTATATTTATATTACACATGTTTTTTACCATTCTTCTGTTTAATATGTTGTACAGACTGCACAATTGCCAAGCTCCCTTCGACCAGCGAAGCAGCTCGTCGCACGATCTCGTGTTCATCCCTGTAAATACCAGTCGTTAATTGTTCGTGGAGTCTGTTTCTTCAATTTGTTGATTCAATATCGATAACGTTTATTTAAAATGCTCTAATATTCCGAATGAGGCTACAAAAAATAATGTGCTACGTGGCTATCGGAGCTTAGATGACGCGCAGCGTTGTTTGGAGGCTTCTTTGATGGGCGATTTACTTCAGAGTATTTGAAATACGCGCGCAAATTAGCCAGGTCATTGAAATGCTTTGCGCGCTTTCGCGTGGATTTGCGCTTGTTTCGCTCGAGCACACGTCGGCTCGTAACTTGGAATTCGACGAATCGCCCGAGCGATCAGCAGCTTATAATCGCGCGAAGCAAAGGTTCCGAATACAATGTGAACCGCCCCGGCGCAGTCGCAGGTTACGTATGTGGATTATTTTCGCCGGGCGGTCGTCAAGTCAAAAATAAAACACGCAGCAACTTGGCGAGTGCCCGAAAGCGCGTACGTCTTTCTCCGTTCGCTCGGGCCGCGTGCTCCCGATGCCATCTTGCTTCGGCTCATTGTCGTCTTATAAAACTGCTTGGTTGACTGCGTCGCTCGTACAAAGTGCAGCATTCGCCGCCTCGGCAAGCGAGACGGAGGGAGGAACGAACAGACGAACGAACAAAGAGAATCGGAGCGGCGCTCTACACATCGACGAACTCTATCGGTTTTCATTTGACGAACAGGTCCTTGAGCGACGAGCAGATCGACGGCTCGCAGGAGTCCGTCTGTTCGGCCTCCTTGCCGCCGGCCGTCGGCGTGGTCGCCGCGGCAACGGAGCTGCCACTGCTCGTGCCCGCGGCGCCGCCGAACCACGTGGCAACCTTGCCGCCTCGGGGTGGCTTGCCCGGGGACAACACCTTGCTCGCGTCCTGCGCCTCCGGCGACTCGTTCGCCGTCACGCCACTCCGCAGGAATTCCTCGATTGCGTTGCCCAACACCTGCAAAGCACGAGCCCAGTGAGCTCTCCGTGAATTTTCCAGTACAACGGCAAGACCATTCGAGATCGCTCGAGTCGATTCGAAGCAGCGATCAAAAATGTTGTTTACGGAGTCACGCCCCGGTTCTATTAATTGACATCCGCTCGGGCAAGAGTAACGCGCAATTAACGAGTGCCTTCAAATACATATGTATCGTTTCCCATTGATGGGGTTGGGTTGGGTTGGGCTTGGTATCGATACCGCCATTCGGGATCGCGCCGGTAGCGAATGAATTTCCTTTGACGTTTCGAATCGTGAAATGGAGGAATGCATTTAAATTTACTTGCATCGACTAATTCTTGCGGTCCTACGCGTTCGAGCGACAATCAACGTACGAGGACGACGTAATTGCATTTGTAAATCAGGCTCGCAATCGATCGAAAGTAGGCTTGCTCCGAATGCAGCCGATCGGAAGGAGCGTCAATTAACGTGGCTTTGATGGTATACCTGGGCGTCGACTTTGGTGCCGCTGGTATCGTCCCACACGACCTTGTTCCTCGCGGCGGCGGCGGCCTCGTCCTTCGTGGGCGACGTTCTGGCGAGCGTGTCCTTCACGGCTCTCACGACCTTCGACTTTTCGAACTTGAAGCTGAGCGCGGCCGGCGGCGATTCGGCGGCCCTCTGCTTCTTGGCCATGGGCTGGTGGCGCTTGGCGAACCACGACGACGGCGAGATGACGGAGGTGCCGGCGGCGCTCCTCGACAGCGCGACCGTCGCCGAGCACTTGCCGTGGTCGCCGCAGCCGTGCAGTATCGACACGTCGAAGCTGTTCGACCGGTGGCTCTTCAGCCTGCAACGAGATCGCGCGGCCAGCGTGAGTCCGCCCATCCGAAAGCTCGCGCGGACCGTTATCCACATCAAAAGCGCACGCGGAGCTTTTTGAGAATAACAGCGTGAGCGCGCGCGGGGAAGGGAGTCACGAGAAAGCCAGCACGACCTTGAGCGCTCACCTGTCCCTCTTCTGCTCGATGCTCTTGGCGGCCGGGGAGGCGGGGTTGGCGTCGTCCTCGAGGCCGCACCGGTCGATCTCCGTGGCCGAGGAGGTGAGCGAGCTGAGGATCGAGATGAGGTCGGTGTTGGTGCAGACGATGCCGCTGCTGGCGGGCGCGCCGCTGCGCGGTGGTATCGGCGGCGGCGGCCCGAGCGGCGGCCGCGCCGGCATCTCGGAGGCGCGGCGGCGCGCCAGGCCGCTCGGCGCCAGCGCGCCGGCCGGGATCGTCGCCAGCGAGAAGTCCGAGTAGCGGCGCTGCTGGTACTGCGTGTAGCGCTGCGCGCCCCCCGCGCCGCTGCCCTCCAGCGGCTGCACCTCGCACACGCGCTCCCGCGACGGGGTTCGCCACATCTTTAGCCGCACCTACGGCCGAGCGGAGAGTCAGGCCCGTTCGACGCGGCAGTCGACCTCTGGCCGGCGCTAGGCCTCGGGGCTTCTCAGGGCGGCCGAGGCAATTGGTGCGCGCGGCGGCGGCGGCGGCGGCGGCGGCGGCGGCGGCGTCGGACATGGCGTTGGATCTCGTTCCAGCGAGTGTAGTCCAATGAGTTCGTTTGCCGAGCACACGGGCAGGCTGCTTCGGCACACGCGGCGGCTCTCGGGGAGCATCGAGGCAGCGACAGCGCGACACATCCGGTTGGAATCCGGCGGGGCGCGACGCGCGAACTCGCCGGCACCGACATCGAAGCGGGCAGGGCAGAGGGGCTCGCGGGTCGATAATTCGAGCGACGAGACAGGAGCGAAGCGGGCGCCGGCTCAGCCCGAGAAAATCGTTATGAGCTTCCTACAACTCGTACTGACCTTCCTGGCGGCTTTGATCTCGGCGATGTCGTCCATGATGTCGAGGGCCAGGTTGTGCGTGCTGCCGCTGTTGGACGGGGGCCCGGTGGAGTCCCTCCTGTTGCCGAGTATCCTGGTGGCACCGCCCATAGGAAAGGCGGCGATGGACTCGCGGCGGTTGCGCCCGAACAGAGTCGGCGGCACCCGCGAGATGGTAACCACCGAGTGGCGCCGTCCGCCGGGCTGAGGTGGTTGCGACTGCGACAGAGTCGCCAGGAAAGCCGCCTCGCGCGGCGACGGCCCCGAGCCCTCACCACCGCGCTCGCTCAGCCGGCGCACCTGCACGCAAACACAAGCACACGGGCGCGCTCACACCTACGGCCGACCATCGCGTGACTCCCTCCGAGTCTATGCATGCGATCAGTTATTCGTCGCCTTCGTGTTCGAGTAGAGTCTCCCGGCCGGGGGTTGACGACCCCGAGGGATTAGGTAAAATCGAAACTCTACTCCAGCCCAACGACGTTTTTTTCGCTCTTTCTCCTTCTTTTTCTTTTGCGTCGACACCCGCTCCTAATAGGATTATCGTTTGGCGGGTCTTTAGCTAACGGTGCTCTTTGTCTTTTCTACGTCCCGCGGCTTTTCGATAAATCTCGTTAGTTTTGGCTACGTCGGAGTGATTTCGCCGAAAGCGAGTGGAAAACTTGCGATAGCATTATTGGCTAATTGCCTCTGACTCTCTTTTTCTTATTTTAACAAAACTCGTTAGAAAGTTAAGTGATAGTCGTGCTGGGAATAAAAAGATTTTCTCATTCAAAAGGTCCGCGAGTCGTTCTCGCCGATCTTCCCGGAAAAAGAACAGTCAAAGTTATACGCGATTCCAAAGTTGCTCGCGCGCACTGGTCGCGAGAACTTGACTAACAATTGACTTTTCTCATCGGTATAATCTTCGGGAAAAGCGTTAATACCACTTTTTGCGATTGTTACGGAGGATAGTTCTAAGCATTCGAAAAGCTTTGTTCGGCAAGTGGTAGGAACGGGGTAATGAGGCGGTATCGCCCGAAAATTTCTAATAAGCAAAGCTTTTGCAGGAGGACGCGTCACGTCGCGCGATTATTATTTAGGAGAGGTCTCTGCAAGTTTTTCAGGTAGCGTGCGCAGTCGCGCCATGCTCGTTATGCTCGCGGAATGGCAGTGCTCGCTAGCGCGGCGATGGTCTCGATATCCAGTCGCGAAGGCGAGGCAGAATTCAAAGCTCGGCGATTTTTTCGAATTGCAAATTGAAGATGATCCGCGCTCGCGCGGCCCGCCGAGGGCGAATGCCTGAAGCTGTCGCGTGGAATAACGTCGGCGAGGCGAAAGGGGAACGCGAGAACTAGAAACTTTACGTCAAATTACATTCCTTTAATGAAATGCCCTTCGGAGCGAAACTTTTGAAAAGTTCCTTCACGCGCGCCGGATTCTCCTTGAGACTTTTCGCTCTTTCGAGGATATAAATTGCTCCCTGATCTTGTTCGGCCGTTTTTTCGGACAAACCGAGCTCGCCAATTCGTCAAAATCGCCGTGCCGCGCACCACAGCGCTCGCGGAATCCGAAACGAGTGCCTCGGAGCGTGGCTCTCTCGCAGTGGCGCGCTCCTGCGCGACGTGGAACGTCAAGCGAGCCGCAGTACCGAAAATATTTCGCAGAGACCTTTGCCAAGGTCTCGGGGCGCCACTGCAGATATCACCGCGGGCCTCGGAAGGTAATCCCAAGATCCGACGTGCCTCGGTATGCTCGCGTCGTATCAGCTTACGGAAACGCAAACGGGCGGTTTCGCGATTTCGCCAGAGGCAGACAAAGGACGGAATGGAGGCGCGCGGCAGTTCGACTCCGTGGATAGGCAATTTCGTAAAATTGCGCGAAACGAGCGAGTGGCAGTCGGGGAGAAAGAAAGGAAAGAAGAGCGAGCGATAGGCCAATTGAATCGTTTCGTTGAATAGGCGCGCGTTTCAAGGTCGCGCGAGCTCGCGATCGATAAGGTCGCACGCGCCCCTACGCGGTCGTCGCGTACACGCGTGTGCCTCGGGATGTGCGGCGGCACAGCGGCGAGGAGAGAAGGAGCGGCGCGGCGGAAAGAGCAAGGCGGGATACTGACCTGCGAGGCGGTGATGCCGGAGGTGCACTGAGGCGTGGGAAGGGAGTGCTTGCGCGCCTCGCGCCACGGCGAGAGCAGGTAGGGGTTGAGCGAGGGCGAGTCCGGGTCGAGGCATCTGGGTGGCGACTCGTCGCGGAGTTTCTCCGCCTCCTCCTCGCCTTGGGCGCTCTCCTCGACGACGATCAGCGGCTCGCCCACGCCGCCCGACGACGACGACAGGCTCGACGAGAACGACTGCCGCCTCATGCCTGCTGCCGCGAGCGTGCTCCGGCTGCCCCTGCTGCGGCCGCCGCAACTGCGCCCGTGATGCGAACAGCCTCGCTCCGCGCGGCCGATCACCGCCTGCAACAGAAGAGTCAGCCGATCATCGAGATTGCCGCCAGGCCCGACGCTGTCCCTTTGCCGGCCCCTTTTTTTGCTTTTGCCTTGTTCGCGCCTTCGACGCGCCCGTCGCCAACTCGCGTCAGCTCTCGCGCCGCGTCTATTTTCCCCTCGCTGTTCGATTGCGAGGCTGCGATTTGGAAATGACGCTGAATCAAAGCGCAGCTCGCAATTGCACTTCTCCGTTGCCGGGAGCGTTGCGCCGGCGCGCGTGCAGCTTGGTAGCTCGAAAGCAAACAGAGTGCGCAGCGAGCGGCGAGCGTCGGTCACTGATTAAACGCGAAAGCCCCTCGCGCGAGTTACGGAATATTCGAGCTCTCGAGAAGGATGAAACAAAAAAAAAGTGACAAACGGAAGCGGAAAGCCGAGCGCCAATGTTTTCAACCGTACTTTTTCAGCTGGCAGCGAGTTTCGCGCGGCGCCGAATGGACTTTGTAATCTTTTTGAATTCGAGCGTCCGCGAGAGAAACTCACGAAGAAAAAGAAGACAACGTCCGCATAATGTTGTCCGCGCGTTTTCCACGCGATCCACTCGCAGCGTGAATGGCCGGAACAAGCGGATCGCACTCCGCGTCGGCTTCCCAGGCGATTCTCTTTTATTATCCCGGAGCGAGAGGTCCGGCGGCACGCCGCGACTTTACGTGCAATACAACACGCCGAGAAACCAACGCGGCGCCGTGGATGTGAGTTTGCCTCGCCACGCTTATTCTCAGCTCTTACCTCGTTCTTAATTTTCTTTGCGTAAGTGGCCGAAAGAATTAGCTGAACCTTTGCAATTTTTCATCGCTTCGCTCGGTAATACACACCCGTGGCCTTCACCTCGCTCGCAATCAGCGATAAGCCGAACGCGACCGCGTAGCGTATCTCGCAAGAAAATCTACGGTGGTTAAGAATTCATAACCCAGGTAGGATGATTTCGCTGGCGATACCGTCGAGCCTACCTTGAACTGGCCCATCGAACTGGATACGTCGCGTAGATACGTCCCAAGAAAGCAGTAAAACAGCGAGATTTTAATTAAGCTCTCCCTATCTCTCTCGTCGGGGACACAACTCGCGCGTTCCTTTAGCCTTCGTCCCCGACTTGCTCAGTGCGAGGAACGTGCTTGCAGCGAGGGACACGCGCGCGCGCACTCCCGTTGCTTTTGCCGCGGCAACGTGCCCGGAACGCGAAAAGTGGATGCTCGCGCTTCCTTTTCGTTTTTCCCGCGTTCGGAGCCCTGGAAAGCCGAGCTTCCTTATCTTTTAATGGATGCCTAATGGCTCTCTCTCTCTCTTCGTCTAGCTTTCACGTGCTCTTAACATTACGTATTACTTGTGCTTTTCATATTCTCAATACGGGTCACGCACAGACGTGGAAATACGAGGTGATCCGCGCGCGCATATCTCCCGGAACCGAACGTCATTTGGCGTCACGATAAAAGTTTGCTTCGCTCGATGAGAGTCCCTTGGCGTGATTGGCCATGCTCAATTAGCCGCTGCTTCAAAGTTGATTTTCGCATGATTGGCCGGAAAAATGAATTGGGCGAAAGACCTTCGGCGCAACGTTTGAAAAGATTTCCCCTATGCGACAAAGAGAGTCGGAAAGCGGCGCAGGGCGTTTGATGAAACAAAGTCGATTCATTGGCTGAATCTCTCTTGAGGAAACTGCGTCGTTTCGAGCGTACTCGCAGTGAAAAATCACTTTTGCGCGAGGCGCACGAGGGCAGTCGCCGCAGCTCCAGCGCGAGAGAGTCGATTGAAATCATTTTATTTCCCCTTTCATCGTTCTCGTTCCTCTTTTGTTGCCTGGCCGCGAGATCAATCGATAACAAAAAAATATAACGTTGCTAATTGGAGGGAACGAAAAATCGTAGTCTATTCACGTAGAGTATTCCCAACATGAATTCGATTGCGCTCCCGAGTACATTGACGTTGAGCAGCGAAGGAAAAATCACGAAGAATAAGTAAGTCGTTGGTCGTCGGTCGGGGAGGGGTTTACAAGTGCCCTTGTGACTTATTCAACCTCGCGAGTGGCAGCCTTTACGCCTCGAAAATTTCCACGTTCGTTTCCGCCTGTCAAACATTCTGCTCGGCTAATTTCGGCAGCTTCAGCAGCTGGAGCTGGCAAGTCAGAGACGATCAGTCGACGCATATTGGAAGGCAAGGCTTTCGGATCACAGCGGCCGTGAAATCGCGGAGAGTGCAATGCGCGTGAAAAGCAAGTCCGTTCGGCTTGCCTGCTTTTAAAGTGGTGATTCGAAGCTCGGCCACCAGCTCGTGCATCCTCGCGGCAAGCGAGGCGTGTAAGCGATCGAGGAGCAAAGTTCTTTCTCGAGCAGTTTGACTTTGAGATCCGTAGATCGCTGGGAAAAGGTAGCAGTCGTAAAACCAGGCGCACGCCCTAGCAACCGATGTTTGCGCTCTATTTTCCTCCTGGCGCTCTCGGAGCAAGTGTTCTTGACGCAGTTTACGAGACTCCTCTCCAACTGCACGCGGCAAGGCCAGCGACGAGACTCGCCGGTAGCCGTATTTCAGTGGATTTTTCGAAATTCATACGAGGAGAGCCTGATTATTGCGGTGCGTATGAAACTTTCAGCTGTAAATCACTGGCGTGCTAAAACGACTATTTGCCGCGCTTTGGTGCATCGTAAAAATAAAATATTCTGCCGACGACTTTACGTACATCCATAAATAAACGTAAATAAAACGTAATTTTCAGTTTGAAAATCGTAAGGTGATTTGAGCCGTTCGTAAATCGTACGTAGTCAACAAACCCAACGAATCCGACGAATCATATTGGATGTGATGTCCGCACTTCTCGTCACGACACACAGACGTGGATCTCTTATCATAAGTGGCTGGGGGCGTTGCGTCTGACGAAAACTGCTTGCTTCCGGAAGATAGCACGCCTGGCTTCGCCCGATTACAAATAATTCGCTTTGCCGTTGTGGCATCCGCTGCCGGACACAATGGATCGAAGTACCTGTTATGTCAACTTTGGACCGTTTGGAAAACGAATGATTCGTTGGGCTTGATCTCTGTCCGATGAAATAAAAAGGCCAGGCGTGCCTGAAAAGTCGAACAGCCGAAGCGTTAAAATCGTAAAAGCGCAACAATGTGCTCACCGCATCGATATTGTAAGTCGAACCGTGCCAAACGTCAATACCATTACCGCGAAAGCGTGGAGACGATTGCTGGGTAAACAATTAACGCAATCAATAGCCTTACGAAACACCTGTACAGCCCTTCAAATATTTGTTATTATTCTCTATTCTTACTTCAATCTCATTCAAGATGTTTCCGGATGACCTGACGACGAATGTGAAAGATTCGTGAGCGCAATCCGTGTGCGAGCATGAATCGCAATCTCGGACCTGTTTCGCGTTAGCAAATTTGCAAGGTAAGTTATGACGACACTGCGCGTAACACTGTTAACGACACCTGACGCGAACTTACCGATGCAATTGCTAACTGAGTAAGCGATCGACTCATCTGCTTTCATCTGTAATAATGCGCGGGTGTAAGTGACGATATGGCATACGTGTCGCCGCTGTGCGCGTCCTTACATTTAGCCACGCGCCGCTGTCGCGTTTCCCCGTCGATATATTTCTATACTTTCGTGACGTATTGTCGTCCGCGCGCATGACGTACGCACTGCAAATGGCCTTTCAAGGCAAAAACAATCGCGCGGTCGTTTGTAAAAGCTGTCAAAACGACGATTGGCTTGCTGTAACGGAGCGAACGTCATTACGTCTCCCGGATATATTTTCTCCTTTCTCACCTTGGAAATTCAATATTCCCGACTATTATCTAGAGGCGTACAAACTTGAGCTCGTATAATTGAATTAATTATAAGTTGCGTGTACTGCAGCAGCAGCAGCAGCAGCAGCAGCAGCAGCAGCAGCCTCGTCGTCTTCACGTAGTCGCGGCACTCGAGAATTTGTCCTGAATATTTGCTCCATTCTCGTAAGATCACGAGTTTTCAGCTGCCGCGCCGCCGTGCTTGAGTGCATCGACAGCTTCTGCCTCCGACGTGCCGTTAAGTCTGATAAACGAAGACGATCGGGTGGGCTTTTCACAGCGTTAACTTATATCTGTCGCGTTCGCGCTTTTATTTGCTTTGTCGTTGCGACGCGCTCGTAGTATCCCGACATCGATTGCGCCCGGCACAGCGTCCAATCATTCAATGACGCGGCGATCGCGTTCCCAAAACCCGTTCCCGCAAGTCTCCTGGCATTCGAATAACTTTTTGACTCGCTGCCGAAGCGCAGCCTCGCAATGATCGCTAAGCCACGAGTCAGCGACAAGCAGACGGCGACGAGCGAAAGAGAAGCTCAAGGAGCTTTCTTCTTGGCAGCATCCGTTTTAATAGCGCATGCGTGAGGTACTACTACGAATCTCTGCGCTGCCTGCTGGGAGAGGGCGCGCAGTCGCTACCTTACGCGCGGCTCTGGGGAAAAGTTTTAAAGTTTCGTCGAGCCAAGGCTACGCGTTGAACGCCAAGCTCCTCGTCGTCGTGTAAGACGTTGCTGTTTGCACGTCGTTTATCGTGGCTCGAGGCACGAGCGCTTGCCTATCGAGCAACCTATTTGCGATCTTGCTAAGGCACATCAATGATACTCTTCAAACATTTCCAGCGCTGCTCCGTTCTTCGTAAAACGTTTTTAGCTATCATTTACCGCGACGATCGATCTTTTCTTTTTCATAATACTTCTGTATCATTCGCTTGTTTGCGTTCAGCGCTTCGTTTGATAATTGATTGATTTGCTTACTAATCAAATTCGAACGAATGATTTATCATTCAATGTCAAACTGAACGCCGAAGCGATATCGATGAAGCTACACGTCAGACCGACTCATACTTTTAGTTCGGGAAGACATTTGTTGCGTAGGTTGTACGCAGTATTAGCATTCCTTAAAAAGTAGGATTGGAATGAATGTGGAGTACCTGGAGAGATTCGTAATCGCAATATTCGCGAAGG